TATTGGTCTTTCGAACACACGTCCTCATGTGTTGAACGTGAAAGAATCGCACTGTATGTTCTAGGATCTATCGTTCTTTTATTGATTGTATTTTTGCTGTTTTTTTATAGTCTCATCTCTGTACATCATTTTTCCCTGGCCGAGCAAAAAAAATCTAATCAAAATGTGTGTTGTTGGCTAAAGTCGACTTAAAGAGACCTTGTTGTAGGCCCTGCAAAATCTGGAAAATATCAGGTATTGACTTGACCGAGTGAAATCAAAGTGTCGACAAGACAAAGAAATAACTATGTGTTTGTTATTATTGCCTTTCCTGCGTGTGAACGGATTGATTCTCTGATATGTTGTTTGCTGAATCGACAACTTTGTAAAGTCCTCAGAGACGGCCGCTGTTGTGATTTAGCGCTGTACAAAAAAACATTGAATAAATGTACTTGAATTCCAAAATGCTATCAAAATATAAAACCAAAACTTACAATGTCCCTATGTTTTTGTGAGAAGGTCTAAAATAAATCTTTGAAATCTCCACATGTATATGCTACTAAATTGTTGGCCGCCATTTTAGTTCAAATGACTTTCACCTCTCATCAGGTTGAGTGTATTTGTGTTATAGGAGGCAGTAGTTGCAGCCCAGCCATTGTAAAGAATATGGGTGGTCATTATGTGTCTAATACTGCCTTATGGAAACTTCATTAAAACCATTTCAATCATGCTGCTCCAAAAAGCTGAGCGAGACAGTAGCACTCGGAAATACTTTCACATGAGCTTGCATATTTCCCATGCACAGATCAATGGCAGAGGTGGGGCCAGAAAAAAAAAAAAACATATCGGATGTCTTAGCCGTTCAATATGTGTGTTAATGTTGTGCACCGTTCTCCATCCGGAAAATACTGATGGAGGAAGAAGTCTGCATCCGCCTCAGCAGTGTCCTGAAATAGCCTCACGCTAAACGGACAAAGAGATGAATCAAAATGTCTAAGGGAAAGCTGCAAAAGCGAATTCATGTGAGAGGTTGATTTGGTTTGCAAGTTATTTACCTCAAAAGTGCAAAAGAAAATGGGAAAGAATTGGATATAGATCATGTTATGGAAGGTTTAATGGGTGTTGTAAACTGTGGTCTACATATCAGTGCCCTCTAGTGGCTACAAAATAAACTGCTGGTCAGATAGACAAATGTGTATGGTCTACTCCATAATGACTTTTCAATGTTCGATAACTATCATTTATGCATGCATCATCATGTTTTGTTTTTTTAATATATATGTTCACTCCATTTCAAGCTGATCATTTCAATTCCATTAATTTTTGTATAGCAGTTGCTTCGTAGGACTTTACAAGGTGGTCGGTTCACCAACAACAGATCAGAGAATGAGTTCAAATACAGGAAATGCAATAATAACAAACAAATAGGAGCCATTTTGCAATCGGGGAGCGGATGACCAATGTCTATAAATGTTCATAAATATGTACTGTATGTCCAGAATCAACACCACTGTCCTTAGACACCCTCCTGCGTTGACAAAGAACTAATTTTCTTTTCAAATCCATCCATCCATCTATTGTCTTCTCCTTTGTCCAATCTAGATCAATTACATTTATTTCAGAAGAATCATAAATGACACCATTTAAATTCATAAAATACAGTATGTTTCAGTCACAAATGTGGTATAAAACCTTGATGGCCTCATTTTTTCTTTGTCCTTTTCAATAGATATCCTTTATGCATAGGGTGAAAGTCTGGAAGATTTTTCTTATTTCCACTCCATTTTGAGCTGATAATTGGTATATAAAGTGGTAAATATAATTGTAAATATATTAACACATTGTGAAACTGTTACAGTATATAGTGCTTATGTATATATATATATATATGTGTGTAGGTATCTATGCATGTGGATATGTTCAGTAGTATTGCAAAGTGATGGGATGATGCTGAGATTTGGGTCATGACAAAGGCACGTTGGATTGATTTGAGGTTGGGAGACAAGGAGAAATTGAAGTTCATTGAAGAGCAGGGAGGATCAGAGAATTTGTACATTTAACCAGTATTCTGTATTCTGAACAGGTATTGAATCAAATGCATTTTTTTTTCTTTCAAAACAAATTTGGATGGCTGGAACTATACACCCTACATTGCTCCTGCTCCTTGTCAGAAGTTTACTACCAAAACGCCCTGCCTTTTTTAAGCCCTATCTTTATGCCATTACAAACTCGCTTGATATTGGAAAACAACCCTAATCAATAGAGTAAAAAAATAAATGTAATGTTTTTTTGGCCGGACAGATTATATGTTTACAGAAAAAAGATTTCATGAATGTCTCTGACTATATCTGTCAACTCTCAACCTAAACCTTGACCCAGAAATGCAGCAGTTCTTGTGTCTCGTCCACAAGGAGAATAATCCTGTCTTTCTTTACATCGAAGTCTGAAAAAAGTATACAAATACATTATGAAAAATAAGTATTCAAACCACACCCAGACCCATAAGTATTAAATGCATATAGCGATAAGGTGTAATTTTCGGAAGCCTTTTGTGCATAAAACATTTTTTGTGATTGGTCTTATGTGACATTTACGATTCTTAGACACATAATTGTAGGTTTTCATTACGTGTAAGCCATAATCATAGAAAATACAAGAATTAAAGCTTGAAATATGTCTGTGTGATAAATATATCTCAATTCTGCCTATAGAAAGTGACACACACACCCACACAACCGCACCAACAGATGATTAGCATATCCTTTTTGTTGGCCGGTAATAACAGTTTAACTTTCTTAAATCAAAATTTCTGAACTTTTTCATCATATTGCATTATTGTTATAAATATAGTTTACATACGAGTGACCCAGGTTCCTTTGCCTTTCTTGTATGGCTGCAGGATATACCTTAAACATTTCGATCTTACTTCATAATTTAGAGTAAAAAGATGTAGGCACTACCCAGAATGTGCATTTCATTCACTCTAGATCATTTCTCTTTGGAAAAAAAAGGCATGACAGCTGCTAGATGAGGAGAGCTGAAGGAAAATATTGATTCAAGTGTCACCTCCACTCCATTATAATGAAAAGCTAAAGGTGCAAGAAGTGAAAAAGTGAGTATTGCCTCATCATTTAACAAAGTGATGCAAAGAGAAAACGTATCTACAGAAAATGGACATGGTTTATCATTTTATTGCATTTACAAAGAGACAGTCAGTATAGAAATACATAGAATGGGTATAATTTCTTGAGCGTATTGATAAAGGCACTACTCAGCAAACAAGTAACATACTGTACATAGACTGGTTCACTTTGAAATTAGGATTTTACAGCAGATTTATGAGAGGAATAGGGCAGGGTTGATGAGTTTTCACAGCATTCTCGTTCATATTTATCTCAACAATTAAATGGTTTATTAAAAAAATGTGGATTTTAATGAAATAGGTGTAAAACTTCAGCCTAACCTTTCAATCTGTCTATTTTGTATGTTTTTTTTTTGTATTTGTTTTGGCTGAGGACTATTTATGACCAAAGACATTCTATACAAAATAAGAATAATAAATGAACCCTCGCTTATAGAAATAACATATCATATTTGAACAGACAGAAAGAAGAGGATTCAAAAGCCGGACAGATACGCCTCTCGTTGTTCCAGAGATACATATACATTTTCCCTCATTGTTGACAGTAGCACCAGTCGTCTTGGAGCCAGCCTTCTCGACCGGTTTCTCTATGTTTATTTTAGTCACTCTGCACACCATGAATACAAGAACAGTATTCTGTGTATGTATTGTGAACCATAGAGCTTTAAATTAAGGACATGAACCAATAGATTGTGGTTGTCGTGATGAATTAACATTTCACTTGTTCTACAGAGAATCAATGACATACCCAGGGTTTCAACAAGAAGCAGATGCAAGACAATATAGACAAATATTGGCTGTAAATAAATCTGGATGCTTCCTATTGCTGAGACAGGAGTCCTATCAAAGCACAAGGTGGACAGGAAACACTGTAACTGACCCTTCCAAGTTTTTTTTAATTCCCAGTCTTCCTCAGAGTGGTGATGTTCCGGTGACGTGTCTTGTCAGCTTTTTTTACTCAAATGTGAGAGAGTAAAAATGCCCCCTCGTCCCGGTTTATAGTCCTGAGACGTGGGATTCTGTCTTGAAGAGGTGGGACTGCAGATGGTGCTGTCGTCCTGTCTTCGGTGGTAAGTGTGAAAAACAGCTGACAAGACAGACCACAGGCACATCACGTGACCACTCTGAGGAAGACTGTGTGCCAGCCGTCGAAACTGTAAGGCATCATAATTGCTCTGGTTTGTTGAAAACGAATAAACGTATAGAATCTACCAGAAAACCAAATGATCCTTGTTGGGATTCTGTAACTTACCATTTTAAGCCCACATTGTTGGAGTTATTTTGGTCTGCATTAACCAGTGATTGGAACACAAACAGATTAAATGGAAATCTCTTTATCAGAACAACTGTTGGAGGTTGAGATTATTGTGAGTTTTGCATTTTTCAATGGAAAGTTCAAATTTTTGTTTAAATGTTGAGTCAAATACTATAGATACCATAAGTGCATTTGGTCAGGCAAAGCAATTCAAAGTTGAAAAAGCAGAAACCATACTAATTACATGAATAAGTGTATTATTCATATGTCATCATTATAAAAAGCATATACTGTAGCTGGCTGCACAGTAAATAAGACATACATTACATTTAGACAAAGACGTAAATTAGGCTGAGGCTGGTTGGTTGTGTGTTTGGCATATTAATCCTGTTTTCTTCAATTAACAAGAGGCAATGTGCAGTTAATGAGCAGACATACAGCAATACAATAGTTCATTAGGCACCAAGCTTTGGAAATTGTGTCTGGCATTTTCTATAGGAATGTGAGTAATTGACATAAAAATATAATAAAAAAGTGTTGTTAAAATATTCTTATTCTTGACAAATAAATACAGTAAGATCCAATATCTTCTAAAATTGGTTGGTGTTACCCTTTTTCCTCATATTAGTAACAGCAAGTGATTCCATCCACATTTTTGCACACTTCTAAAACTTTCTTGTTAAAATCTTCAGCTTGGTCGGCGAAAACGTAATGTCCAGCGCCGTGAATGACCTGTAAAAATGATAAGGGTTTCAGTCAGCAATTTGAGTGGTGGGTAGATACAAAACAAAAACTATCTTAAAATTAACATCCCCTGGTTTTTACTATATTCATTTACAAGTTGGTGGCAATCTAAAAGAAAACCAAGTATATCTGTCGTTCGATGTTGATGTGAAAATGTCTCTCCTTGTGTTAGATTATGGGGATGTTGCTTTGGCACGATGGCAAAGTTGCTAGAGCTTGATTCCATCTTGTGTGGAGTTTGCATGCTCTCCCCATGCTTTCTCCATGTGTGCATAGGTTCCCCGACCACTAAAAACATGTACTATAGGTATGAATGTAGCCTGAGTGAGAGAGCGACTGGAAGGTGTCCACAGGGCTGCGTTCTTTCTTCCCTGCTCTTCTCCCTGTACACCAACCACTGCACCTCCAGCCACGACTCTGTGAAGCTGATCAAGTTTGCGGACGATACCACCCTCATTAGACGTATTACAGGAGGGAGGTGGACCGGCTGGTGTCCTGATGCAGTGGTAACAATCTGGAACTGAACGCCCAGAAGACAGTGGAGATGATTGTGGACCTCATGAAGAGCACATGTCTCATTTTTATCTTTTTTCTATAATAACTTGTTTGCACCATCAGCCAAAGCAAATTCCTAGTTTGTGACTTCATGTTACTAACAAAGTGAGAAACAGACGCACCATAGCCTCCAACAAGGCTATGATGCGTTTGTTTTTCACTTATGACATCACAATGTGAGAGAATGGAAACAAATATTGCTCTGTGTGAGCTTGGTCTGTGAAATGCGCTAAAATAAAGACTAATTATTGACTTACTGTATATTAGAAGAGAGCAACATTGTATTAAGCATGAGCACTGACCGCTGCGCTTTGTCAAATTCAAACATTACTTACTGTATACCAATACTGCTTATTTCTAATCGTTAAATACATTTGAAAAACTAAAAAATACACTATCACCCTAAAGCCTGTGTAACTTACAATGATATCCACTCGTGAGGTGGGCCTGAGGCTTTTGATGGCGCTGCCAGAGTTGCTGTCAATATTGGATCTGGAGCCGTAGATGATGGAGATGGGAATTTCAGGAGGAAGTCGGTCTACTCTGTGAAGCATCGGCCTCTTCGCCCAGCCATCAGGAAGAGACATGTTTTTGAAAGCTGTTTCCCCACTGAAAAATACAAGAAAAATATGTGTAATTGTTTCATCAGTAAAGAGTGTGTTTTGAGATATATTGAAATTTAAAAAAAAAGATACCTTGGAGTTTGGACATTTAAGTGGTAGACGTAGTCCGCCACTGTGTTGTCTTCAAACATAGAGGAAAACTTCTTCTTAAAGTCCGGTCTAAGGGTCTGCACCAGTGTGGGGCCTAAAAGGAGAGAGGACGACAGCTGTCAGTATGAACCATGTAGCAATTAAGAAACATGGACACATCATTACATTTAACATGATTTTGAAGAGAGCCGGCGGAGCAGAGAAACTGTGTTACAGCCTCAGGTTTCAGAGTGCACAGTTCACTGAGTCTGAACTCCTAATGAAAGCTAGTAAAAGTGATGAGAATACAATTGTGTCTGGATTTACGGAGCTGAAGGAGTAGAGTAAGGACTGAACATGTGGAGAGTTAAGTGTATGGACTTGTAAGCTGTATGGACAGGCTAACACTTTGGCAAGGCGATTCCACATGTGCACAGACAAAGTGAAAATAACCGTGTTTTAAGCCATTTGCACACCGCTCTATACTGCCCACTTGTGGTGCAGGTACAGTGGGGGTAAGTGTAAAAAGCCGCAGGTTGCACACAATGATGCACTTTGAAAACAAATGCCGCTGGAAACATATTTGTTGCAGGATAATTCTGTATGAACTATTTTAGTGCTAATGTTTGTCAGCATGTGTAGCATATGACTCCTTTAATACACTTTGGCGAGCTTCATTCTGTATAAATAAACAGAGATTTCACAACTGATTGTCCTTGTCAAAATCATCTCTCTCTTCTCAATCTCTTTTATAAAACAGGAAAGGAAACATTAACACTGAATTAGCCTGTGAATTAACTCTTGTTTTCCAACCTTTGAATACAAACTAAATCTGCCTTTTGTTTCCTTACAAATGTGCGAGCAATGTAAAGATTAAGCACACATTTCAATTGGTGCAAAAATATTTTAAAGATACAAACAACTAATAAAATCCCATTCCTTACCACTTCCACTACGTATAATGGTTAAACAAATTCTGATGGTAGTAACTCACACAAGCATAGCCTTTTTTTACTCCAAAAATGTTTTATGTATGCAATTATTGTAGCCATTGAAGCCGTGTTTATACATTTTTCATAGTTTTACACTTGAATAATACATGACAATCAGTCCCTCACATTGTGCTTGTCAGTGCATTGTGTGATCTCTGGCTCTCACCGAGTGGCCCGACCAGTCTGAGGCTGGCCAGGGGGTTAAAGGGGCTAAACATGGCGCCCAGAGCTTTGATCCACACCGGGATGGGGTGGTCCGGGACACTTTGGGCTGAACTCTCTGGGAAACCCCACGGCTCCACCAGGATTATGTGCTTTACTCTGCACAAAGACAAGACAAAAATGATGATGAAACTATGTTCATTAATCCATCAATGTATTCGTTTCCCACCATATTTTCCTGGTGGTTTTCTAAAAAGGAAACTTATAGTGCAAAACCGGTTCTCAAGGGACTATAGTGTTTCATTATAACCAAACTTGAGCAAACCAGACTTCAACCATTTCATAAAGTCTTCAGGTTAACACTGGACTCACTTGATGAAATGTGTGTCTGGGGTGCTCCTGCTTGGTTTGGTATGAAAACCTGCAACCAACCTGGCCCTTTGAGGAGCAGTTTGAAGACCACTGTTTAAAATACTATGGGGATTTGCGTAAAAGTGCATGTTTTAGAGTGGGCAGAGGATCCTGTTTCTGACAATAAAATTCCCCATTATAACTTTTATTATAACATATACACAACTTCTTTGGGCTGATCTAGTGAGAAATTACCCACATTTACAATTATATTCTAAAGTATATTTTTGTGCTTAACACATGATATTTTTTTTGTTGGAATTGTTTGAATGTTTTTAGGGGTAGGAGAAACCGGAGCACCTCAGAGGAAACCTACACAGACACGTGGAGAACATGCAAACTCCACTCAGAAAGGCCCTGTTCCGACCGGGATTCAAACCCAGGACCTTTATGCTAAGAAGTGAGTGTGCTATCCACTCAGCCACGCACAGCTCCGTAAACTATGAAATTTAGGATACTAAAAAGGATGATTCTGTTTTACAAAGGCAAGTTGTCCTACAGCTGTGATAGTCATATGTAAATGTACAAAAACCTTATACCCACAATGATATGCTATTTTTTATTTGCAAAGGTGAAACTCATAATACACACCCAGAGCAATAGAACATTATGGTGAATCAATGAGGTGGCGATCATGTTGTATTATTCTATTTCAGTTGGAGGGCAGGTGCCAAAACAACTCCCTGGGGACCATTTTTGACAGAAATTGTTAAATGTTTAAACATGTTTCAGATTTGACAGCGATTAGACTCACACAACTGGCACAGCAGGATAAGCTTTTAATTATTACTTTTGACAGTTACCCTATTACCAGAAAGGACTTTTCAGCTGCCCTCACCCCGATTTTAAACTAGGCTTTTTGAAATGGTGTAATGAAAAATGAACACAAACATGTATACACATGACCAACTATTTTGTATGTTTTTCACTTGTTATCTACAGGTCAATACAATTCAAACCTTGAAGTGAGGCAAGAACATGCATCTTCTGATCAAGAGCATCTCTTTTAATAAGTTCAGGCTATTCAGTAAAGTAGCAGGATAACAAGGGGAAAGAACGGGAGCAAAGAGAACTGAATTTTAAGCATTTCTGATTCAAAGAGTAGATAAGGGATTGGGGCCATTTTAGCAGAGTCCCAGGGGAGGAGAGCCAGTGCTGAGCTAGAGATGGTGAGGAGGAGATAGAGGTCCAGACACTTGGAGGACAGAGCTGTTATCTTAGTCTGCCAGCGCCTGCAGCCACACGGCCACAGCTACATCCAGGAAAACGTGCTGCAATATGCTCAGCCCATGTTCGGGTCATTTTTCAAAACGCTGTCTCTGTATGCTTCTATCTAGATCCACTATCTGCCCTTTACTGGTAATACACAAGCTCCTGAATGTGGAGCAGTGTTAGTGCATGACTAAAGCACACATCACAAATGCATAATTTGGGAATGTGTATTGTCATAATAATTTGATACGCCACTTTGGCTACAAGCGTCAGCAAGCCGATGGACTCTTTGAACTTGTACTGAATGTGAATCAAAAGATCTTTTATAATTTATAGCTGTGCCTAACTTTTTTATTGTTTCATAAATGCAGAAAGGTCAAAGGACAGAGGTGATGATACAGGAGACTTGACATTCAACATTTATGGACATGTATGGAGATTGGTCAACCGCCCCTTATGGACCAACGGCTCTATGTATTTATTATCATTGCATTTCTTGTGTTTGAACTGTTGATTCTCTGATCTGTTGTTGGTGAATTCAACCGTTTCGTAAAGTCCTCTGAGATAACTACTGTTGTGAATTAGGGCTATACAAGAATACATTTAATTGAATTGAATTAATATGTTGTTTAAGCACAAATATTTTAACAAATCAGACTGCAATACAATCTGCAATATTGTATCTTTCACATACAGTAGAGTGGATTGGTTTGGTAAGTAAGGGTTTAGAGCAGCTTTTTCACCAAAAAAAGAGTACAAACCAAAGAATCATGCATGTGAAAATCAATAACCAAACCAAATAGTTTTGAGAGCAAAGAAAAGTTGACTCATAAAATATTAGTTGACTTTTGTGGTTTAAAAGTTAGGTAGCCCAGCTTTAAGTAAGAGAAAAATCTGTTGTTTTGTACGCACTCACCTGTCAGGATATCTAATGGCGTATGACATGGCGAGAAACCCTCCTAAGTTATGTCCCACCAGGATCAGAGCTTCCAGCCCTAACTCCATCCTCCACTGTTCTAAGGAGTCCACAAACTGCTCCTCTGCCTCCAGTGGCTGTGAGGAGAACTGCGGCCTGCTGCTGAGTCCAAATCCCAGCAGGTCTAAAGCCAGGACCGGTCTGTGCAGTGACAGCTCGTCCAGGTTCTGAGCCCAGAGTCCAACTCCGCCCCCAAAACCATGAAGGAGAACCATAGGGGTCTTGCGTGTGAGTGGGTCGCCGGGGAAGGTGAGGGTCCACAGCTGGTGCTTGTTGGAGATGGGAACGTACTGTTGGGTGTAAGAGCTTGAGACGCCTAGAGAAAGGAGAGAGAAAAATGATTTAGTCTTATTGAATCAAAAAAACATTACTATAATAAGTCACATTCATATGACAACAACACAGTTATTCATTCGTTGGAGACAAGTCAGAATGTGTCTATACTTAATGAATCTACTGTATATAATAACCTAATTAGTTTTATTTTGAAAAATGTCTTCTAACTTGGTGCTTTAGCGCTATTTTAGTCAGTAAATATTTTTTATTTATATTGCCTTTCACAGACCAGACTCACAAAGCACTTTACAATGAATAATATCATTTATATGGTTAATTATGGTTAACATTTTGACTTCATCCAATATCCATTATACATATATTGACATGTGCAGTATTTACCATTAAAATACAATTGTAATAATATCTAGTTGGAAGGTTCCCTCTTTTTGACTTTACAATAGCAAGTTAATAACCCAATCTTCACATATCATTATTTAAGACTGCATTATACATTTTGAACTATGCTAATAACTGATTAATTGACGAATAAGTTTATTTATTTGATCAGGGACAATGCACTACTGGCATTATGAAGAGATGCCATGTGCCAGGTAATAGCATGACACTAATTTCCACCCTAGTCCCTGGACAGGTTCATGTTACACTTATAAAAGAACAGGAAAATATAAAAATCAGAAATATACATAGTAATTCTGTAAAATCAATCCCACTACACAAGAAACTATCAAAAATTCACTACAAATGTCATACAATTTCAGAGTCTCATTATGTCGTAGGAAGAGGATCCCAAGTTGAACCTTGCAACAAACTAATCATGAACCCACAACGCAATCAAGGAGGCACTGATTTGACTTTGATGGCATCCGGTCCAATGTTTTCTTATCGCAATAATAGCATCTGAACAATTACAAAACATTCACAAATATAAAAGTTACATCTCAGAGATACTCTTACATCGCAGCATCTGTTTCTCTGCCACTCTCAGTTGGTTCAGTGAAGTGGGACACCATGATGGCAGCCAGTTAGGGAGCCAGCACCACCTACAGCAAGCAGGGAATCATGTAAGAATCATCATAAGAATGGAGAAAAAATGGTCGAACATAGATATTATAATCAAATGAATACAAAATATAATATAGTAATAGAATTCATTGTTAGAGTGGGTCTAAATTGACAGTATTACATGGCACACACAATACTGCTGTATGACAATATAGTGACATAACAAAAGCAATACCCAATACCTCTGTTTTAAAAAATATATATAATTCTAAATTAACTGTAACTAAGAACCATTCATAATAACAAACAGTGGTATTTTTTTCTTATACATTAATAGAGTTTGCTTAAGTCGATGCCTAATACTAACGAAACGTGAAAGACTTTTTACTGAAGCTGTCTAATAATCACCTGATGGTTGAGTCCATGTATCCCCATGCATTATTGATGAGGCCGTAAACTCCAGCGGCAGCCAGCGCTTTGTGAATGACCCTGAGTTCAGAAGAGAAACAAGAAGCATTTGAGGCCAAAGAGCATAAATTAGGACAGAGGTTGTTTGCAGCAGCTCAGATAGATAATGACACAGTGTAAATGATATACAGTTTATGGATATTATGAAGAAAGCACCTGATAGTTTAGCCTCAATTTAGAACAGACACATTCCCATGAATAAAATGTGTGCTTCTGCTTGGATTGTTGCTTGTGATCTGTGTCTGTGTTACAGTTCAGACCAGGTTTGGTGTTGTGTTATTTTCCTTCACACATACCGCACAACGTTTAAGGCCTAGAAAATGCAACATGTATTAGTTTCCAAATTCATAAATTCAATGATTTTAATGTGATGTGACCCTGAGTGTGTCCATACATTCAATAACTGTTGTGAGACAGGTTAATTTTACCCTACTGATGATGTGTTGTTGCAATAGTACATAAATTGCAAGAGCAAGAATTACTATTGCAACAACACACAACAAGATGCGCAGTTCCATTCCGTCAAAGAATGTCTCGATCTTGGTGGTGACCCGGATCATGTTGATAAAAAGTATACTTCATTAATAAGTTATAGATTTAATCGGGTGCATGCAGTTTGGGAAGGGCTCAGCAGAGAGACAGTGAAAATAGCAAATGAGATTTAGAGGGGTCACAATAGTCTATTTCTTTCCCACAGGCATGACACACAAACACAAGTTCAAACAAGAGGCACAGAAATGTCACAACACAAATAAAAACTTGATAAAAACTGAAATAAGAGAATCCTGCAGTAATACGTAACTCCTTGTTCGCCGTGCTGCTATGAAAACTTTATATGACTTCTGCAGTTTGATTCAACAAGTCTAGAGTCATTCTCAGGTTTCTTGGAGCAGGTACAAAGCGGGGGCTGAGGTAATAATGCATGGTACTCATACAGCTCATTTTAGAACACTCGAAGACGCAACACATGGCATTTACACAGGTGGTACTGCTGTCGCCATAGCTGCCCTGGAGGAAAACTGATGGAAGCACGGCTGGCAATCTGAGCCATTGGCCTCTAGGACCACCACCAATCATTACACACACACACACACACACACACACACACACATACAAAGCAATACTAGTAGGCAGAGTGTCTTGCCTAAGGACACAACGACAATTCCTTAGCCACTCCACTGTATAAACTCCTTTTTACTGCAGTCTCGCATCACAGAAAATGTTTCATAGAAATTCTAGTGTGACAAAGCTGGGGAATTGAATGTGCTCTATACGTTTCTCGAAAATGAAGCCTGCATACATTTATAGTATCAATCAAATTCAATTCAATTCAATTTTATTCCTAAATCACAACAGTGGTTTTCTCAGAGGACTTAACAAAACCCTTGAAATCGTCCACACGGATCAGAGAATCAACAGTTGTGTTTATGGTTCAGGACACATGGATCCAGGAAAGTTCTATGGGTTTCAACCACATCGGGTAGCCATTGAGTCTGCAGCAATATTATTATAGATCCATGGTCTGCAGTCTGAAAATAACTCACTCTTCCTCTAAATAAAGATCTATTCCACCCTCACACATGTCGGTACAGTCTGTTCCCTTCAGACTTGCAGTTATGGCAAAGGCTTATAGAATGTGTGGAAATATGTGTAATTATATTGTCATAACGCGATTGCAAACATGATAAACAAGCAAGAAGAAGAGAGAAAACTATCCGTATATAACGCACACATTAGTTGGTCAACACAGATAAAAACATCAAAATAAAAGAGATTTTGCTGTAAAACTTACCCTGTGTTCGCTGCCACCTCCCGCTCGGCCATAGCTCCAACAACAACACAAGAACCTCTCTGTGACCACGTGACCACAACCCCGCTCTGCCCCAATGTGATGCGCTCCTTTTATGTCTCCGAAAGTCCGTAGGCAAGGCTTCTGTGGCGTCAATCCTCTCCGCCCGTGCAGATAGTTGACCTGTTGTAGTAAACCAGCGCACACAAACCCAAGTGTCAGGCAGTGCGGATGTAGCCGTGCTGTCAGATCTAAACATTGCTCTGGTGAAAGAGCCTTGGTAAGTAGCTGAATTAAATCAGTAAGTTACTGTAGAAACGCGATCAAAGTTATGTAAACCCTTAGGTCTTCATATTTCAATAGCGAGATGCACTGTCGTACCGTAGCTCTATAAATAGCCTCTGATTTAACCAGGTAGTTATGATCTGCAAAGCCTTGGAACTTGCTAACATTAACATTTTTATTGGGTTGAACACGAAGCCGACTGTGTACTGTCAAACTTTCCTGTTAGCATCAACATGTGGTAGGGTGTGTCAGTGCCAATACAGAATTAAACCTTTTCTTTTGATCATAAACACTTTATGAGCTGTAGATGTCATAAATCATAATGCAAGATACAGTCAATTTATGGTGTATAATAATTGAAATTGCAGTGATGACATATTTTATTCTTATCATTTGTAGAACTCTTTCAGTGGGTGTGGTTGTATGAATGAACCATTCACCTTTGTACAGGTCTGAATCAGAGATCTGTTCTAATCTTATTACAGGTCCACAGCTCCCCCTGAGACTTTGATTCTGATCAATCTGGATGAGAATAGAAAATAATTAACATTCACCCATATGTGACAAATATACAAATATTGATGTGATGAAGAAAACATATTATTATAATCTAGTTATACCTATAATTCACCGCTGTGTTTGGCATTTGTGCATTCATCATGTTTACATTTAAAGTATGTTTATTGCTCTGTCTGAGACAAGATTTGTTGTAGCAGGATTAATAACAGTACTATGTGCAGTGGTGAAGGGCTATGCATAAAAATCATCGTGATCTGATTTCTGTGATATGTTACATTATTTGGTGCTGTATATGTTACTGTTATAAGTAACAGCAAATAACATATTTCTGTGTAATACTAGTATATAAGCAAACTTTAGGCTCTTCACATCTCTTAAGTGAGTGAAAGGTGACTTTAACCAAGCAGGAGTTCATTGTTTGTCCCCTATTGATAAGAATTGTGATGCAAATATTGGCATATCCCTTTCAAAAAGTGACACATTTTTCTACACATCTGTGCAAAGAAAATGAAAGGAGTATAGTATTGACTGGTTTCATCTTAATCAAATCGGATTATTGCCTGTCCTTTAGTATGCATCTCTGCTGGATGAGTGTGGACGTGGATGTGTGTGGGTTTGGGAGGGGGGGCTCCCAGCTGTCTCTGTCAGTATCTGTCTGTCATCTGGTCCTGCTCTATGCCTCCACTCATTAGATCTGTGAATAAATTAAGGCTTTCCTCAGATAACAAGGAGCATGTGCAGCAGTATGATGGAACATGTGTGCGTGATCACCTGAATGCATAACACACCACACCCTGACAAAAGAAACAGTTTGTAGACACTCAAGATTAGTGTAGTATAGAGTTCACATACCAATACTTGTGCGTTCACATTGAAAGTAATGTATAGGGCTTTTGTCAATGATGTCTTAGTTATATCTACCTTTTTAATAGCAAGTAGGATTTTAATATATGAACTCCTGTAACTTTGTAATCTTGTGAGATTAACTTGGGTTAGTTGACTAATCAACAGGGCATTCTTAAATCAACCCAGAATTTCCTTGGTGGCTCTATAAGTGTAACCTTCTTTGTCATGGTGTGTTCAGGTGGAATATCCTGGAGGACTGGTGAAGGCAGCAATGCAGTCGTCTGAAAGGTTCACCCCTCTGGTGGTGCTTGAGCTGGTCTCAGACACCAAAGAAGAAGCCATATCTTGGCTCCTCCATAGGATACGAGACAAACAGCATAATGGAGGTCAGAGAGTTCTATTTTTAGTAATGAGTTTTCGTATTGAATTCTGAATCTAATACTGCGTGTGTTTTTACCATAGGTGCTGAGCTGATGGTGGAACAGCTTGGGCATGGGGAGGCTGCTGAAGAGAAGCAAAATCCAAATCTGTTCCTGATTGGGACGTCGTTGCAGAGATTGTTGTCTGGAGCTGAAGATTTGGGTCTTTTCAAAGAGTTCAATGATGGTTCCATGAGGGGCTTCACCAATGCAAACAAGCAGAACTTTAAGAACTTTCATGGTGAGGCTTGTCTTTTGTTTTGGTTACATTTTTGAATAATTTAATTTAGAGCTTTTTTTTTTTTTTATATGTATGTATTTTATTATGTATTTTGTTTAATGTTACAGTTTAAAATGGGGTGAGATGGGGCCCAGACATAGACACACACACGTACACGTACACACACACACACACATCACTCTGGGCCCATCCCTCTTTCCTAGTTGCTCTCCCTGTTTGATTAGTCTTTTAAATTAAATCAGTGCGTGGAGTTAACCTCTGGAACAGATTGACTGGAGAATCCATTTCAGAGGTTAACGCACAGAGATAAACATTGATTCAAAATAGTTCAGAATTCACGCAGATACATTGTTTGCTTCCCCTGTAATGGAGGTTAGCATCGTACATTAAGGTGGCAGAGAGTTTCCAGATGCCATGAACATTATTTGAGGGATTTGAAGTTAATCCAGTCCTGTCATTTACATTATTTTCATTCTGTGAACTGTGGGTTTGAAGTTTGTCTACGGCGGACATAATATACTTTTTGAACTGTCTCTTTTGTAAGGAATTTTAACAGTTTCCCCACATTTAGATAAACAACAGAAATAAAGCACATGTTTTTTAGTAATCGCTCAATCTCTTCCTCTTTCCAATATTTTTTTGCACCTTTTGTTCCACATGTTACCAAGTGATGTGGGTTAGGGTTAGTGTTATGTGGAAAAAAATGCATTATTTGGAACTTTTTCAAATGGGGTATTATCGATGGCAGGTATATTACTGTTATGATTTTCTATTTTGGATGAAGTTACACGCCTCAAAAGTTGCTCCAGGTCAATTATACCCAAAATATTGTGATGTCTGCGTTGGTGTTCATTAAATCCTATGCTTTCTTTCAATGCAGCTTATTTTTACACATTTGAATGGTTGTATGACATTCACTTTAAGAGAATATAAGTTTATTTTTTTTTAATATATAAGCCTTTTCTTTTGTGGTTTTGTATGTGCATATAGCCAGTTTTGTATCATGACTATTCTTTTTGCAGGCGATGGAGATGGCTTCCTCAGCATGGCCGAATGTCAGTACATTATTAAACATGAGCTGGAAACATTACGAGCCAAAGATGAAACGCATATACCAGGATACACACAGGCCAAGCTCTACCCAGGAAAATCTATTAGTGAGTACAGTTTCACGTCTGTCATTTAGCAAAGGCTTATTTGCTGCAGAATAATAGCATTCAGAGGGAGTTACCGCTCGATATAATTATTGTATGTATGATTAAAACAATAATGGATTTTTTTGAAGCTATTGTTTTGCCGTATTTCAACCTGATACGCAATTATTAGGGTATTTGTAAAATCAATTTCATGCTGTAATAGCTGTTTTTCTAATTTAATGAATTCACGCTTAGTGTCTACCAAAGGTTTTTCAATTATGTCTCTCGTTCGTCACTGCGGTGGGAAAAGCAGTGATCTTGTTGTTAGTTATCAGCGAGGCACAAAGCTCATCACATTTGAAGTTGATCCAGCGTGAAAGTGTTTTATTGTCTAGTTAAACAGTTATTAGTGTCTACATGTTATTGTGTCATAACTTAAAGGAGACATATCATGCTACCTTTTTAGAGTTTATGATTACGTTATAACATTGTTCATTTGTTTGAAGTGTGATTTATTAAAGGACAATGTGCAGTTGCATTAAAAATATGGCTGCACCAGATTTAGCACCATGCTACTCTCCACCTGTAGTCCTTGACAATACAATCTTAATATAACTTGCATATTAATATACAGTTCAAATAAAATAGGCAGGTTACTAAGTTACATATTAGCATAAAATTTAAATTAAATTCACTTTTGTCAGCATGTAGCTCCGCCCCTTCAGGCTAAAAGCTCCTCTTATAGTCCCTGTCCTGTAATAGTATAATGTCATTGTACCGCTATGACATCACGCTCAGAGGAGATTTATGCCGTTTAAAACAAAAGTTTTGCCCATAAATTGTCGTTCTTTACAATCGCATGGCTGTGTTTGCAGTCAGTGATTATCAAATTTTGGGGAAAAAAAAGAAAAAAAATTCTACTCCTCCCTCTGGTGGTAGCACAGGGATATGGCAGGCTGCTAGTATTATCTACCGTTACTGCTTGTTGAAAGATATTATTTCAGATTCTAAAACATGAAATTACAAAAAAATGGTCTCATTATGTTCTCATATACGGTATTAGCTTCCACAAGCGGTCACATTTCCTACAGGATTAATTCACATTACAAAAGTTCAAATGTGCAGTATGAATGTATGTCTGATTTGCAATACCAGATAACTAAAAAAAGAACAAACATTTCACAACATAACACAACATTCAGTCAAATATTGTTGTCTTATTTTCTCCTTAAATATACATATCTATTCTCTGTTTGCCTTGATCTGATAGACAGCTGATTCCAAACAGCTGCAGATCTGAAAAATATCCATTCTTTAAATTGTCGGTAGTGATATTGTAGTATAGCATCTACGAATAGAGTGGAACATGGATAGAAAATTGTGCACATTGCAAAACACCACAATTATGATTCTTTTTACAATACCACAGAGAGAAAAAACCCTTTCCTACATCCCTATGAATTACTTCTTCTACTTGCTTATATCTGCACTTTCTCTCTCCGAGTCCCAGTAGTTGTTAAAAACGGAAAAAACTAAAACACATTAATTCTCTCCACTTGTCCTCCCCTCACCTCTCCCTCTGCATTACCCCCAGCCTCTTTGTCTCTCTCTCTCAGTGGCGGTGGTATAGAAATAATAAATATGCAAATTAGTGGAAATATTCCCTAAGCGAGATAAGGAAGAGGCAATAAACGCTGTGTTTGACAACTGGTGTTAAAGCAGAATGTAATCGTTTGGGACAAATGATTCTCTCAAGAAATGGCAGATAAAGTGATACAGCCATCATGTTAAGTCAGCACGAGACAATGGGGACCGTTTCTATGGATTTGAGAACATTTCAGCCATTTGTCTCTGTTTTAATGCAGTGTGTATGGTATTAATAGTGGGAAGTCTATTCAAATAAATAAAACCTATTCATTGATTTTACAGATGTGACAAAAAATCTAAAACTGTACCTTTGTAGTTCGCAGATTGCTGTCGAAAGGAATCATGGTCCAGATGTTTCCACTCCATGAGACGGAAGAACTAAAAAGACTCTCATTTTCATGGTTCAAAAAGATAAAGCTTTCTGTCCAACCACTTGGTAAGAACACATCGTCTGGAGACAATATGTATACAAGTTTATACAAGTCTTCAGTTCCAAGTTTTATGTAGTGTCAAAGGGAGAGAGATGAGAGATGTGCGCTCACACTGATGCAGATAGTAAAAGGAAATGGATTTGAGAATCTCACTGTGACTTATACTGTACTTACATCACCTCACTGCCCACTGCCCACACCATGCAGAGGTCTCGCTCACCAGGATGTGGAATATGCTGGACTTTTTCCCTCATCACTAGAGTTTGGGCGAGAGGGGGCATTCAATTCCAACGGTCATGTGCCCCTGGAAATGTCATTGTTTTTATTCATTAAATGCAAAAATATAGATTTTCTTTAACATTGCTGTAACATACTTAATCCAATAAAAGTGCACTGACGCTATGAACAAAATGCATTGATGAACTATCGGTAAATTAAAATGAAATCTTGCTCTCTGTACTCTCTGTGATCAGGTTTGAGTGTATTTCATTTCTCTGCTCAGCCCCTGACTTTCTGTTTCCCACAGATGAAATCAGACACTACTTTGGAGAGGGACAGGCGCTGTACTTTGGCTTCCTCGAGTACTTCACCTTTGCTCTCATTCCCATGGCTTTAATTGGTGTGCCTTATTATCTGTTCGACTGGGAGAACTATGACAAATATGTCATATTTGCTGTTTTCAACTTGATTTGGTGCACTATTATACTTGAGGTACGACATTACTTCTGGCACTGAGGCACATTGTCCACTAATATGAATATAAAGTACCCCTAATAATGCTGGACTATCTAACTTTTATTTATTTAGTCATTAGTATGTGTTTTACAGAAATGGTCTTGTAAAGGTAGATTTTTAATCCTAATACAAAGTATTTTTTTTGTTCACACACAGAGCCTTGTTTGTAAGTACTTGATGTTTGAACTAAGAGCTTATTGAGTTAGGGCAATCCTCTCTTTTTCACTTTTCTGCCTGAAAAAGATGTGACAAAAAGAAGAGGACAAAAAACATGCACGTAAACAACTAGTTAAATGGATCTGGATGCATAGTTCCATTTATGTAGTTTACAAGTTACCCCAGCTGGTAGAAATTACAGTCAAAATATATACAAATGCCTTATAATTGCAGTAATGTAAAGTATTTCCATATTGCTGTAATATTATTGTTAAAGCCACACTTTCAGGAACATTTCTAAATCATGATTATATTTCTATTTTCAGTTATGGAAGCGTTTCAGTGCGACCCTCGCTTACCGTTGGGGGACACTGAGTAGAAAAAAGGCCTTTGAAGAGCCCCGCCCTGGTTTTCACGGAGTACTGGGCTTCAATCCAGTCACTGGACGAGAGGAGCCTCTGTACCCCAATGTGAAGAGGCAACTGCGGGTGTTCTGTGTGTCTGTGCCCTTCGTGCTGCTCTGTCTCTACCTGTCGCTCTATGTCATGATGATTTACTTCCAAATGGAGGGATGGGCTTTGTCTTTCCACGATGAAGAGCCCACCTTCTGGACCGGGATCCTGGTCTTCATCCCCAGTATTATCTATGCAGTGGTCATCGAGATCCTGAACCTCATCTACAGATACGCCGCAGAGTTTCTCACGGAGTGGGGTGAGCTGCTTTGGGGATTTTTGGATCGGTGTAACTGAAACATTAGATGCTGGGTTTGATTGTTCATAATCTGCTTTAAAACACACTACTCATCCCATAATGTTGTTTACTCTTAGAACCTACTGTGAGGTGTAGCTACAGGAGCTTCCTCAATAAGTCGGAATGAAATTGAATCTATCCCTTCCCTTTGCCACTGGCTGGAACACAACCCAAAAGCATAATGTCCATTCCAAACCAGAATTAAGAGCCGGACAGATGCTGTTTTCATGCAATTCGACACTGCCCTGTCTTCTCCAAATGAGAAAAATCCTCCCCATTGGTCCGCAGTACTTATATCTTAGTATTTCTGAAAGTACTTGAATGTTATTTTTCAGATGTCAAACGCAGAATACAATTTTGAGGATAGAGAGTTTTTTTGAATACTGTCTATCAGCCTTAACCTCTTCCCATTCGGCCCATATGCTTTTTATGCTATCATGGCGTGTTATACCCCATCCTGAAACCACTTTGCTTGTCCGCTTGGAAACTGCAGGACACCCCACTGTAGCTATGAGATACATATTTTATAGTCTGTAGGAAAGAAACATAAATATGTGATAATCTTACGGCTTGGGGGTCTCCAATTTACCTTTTATCCTCTGCTGTAATGTATCAAAGATTACCTTTTGTATTGTAATACTGATTTGGTTTCTCTCGTGACAGAAAATCACAGGCTGGAGTCTTCATACCAAAACCACCTTGTCCTTAAAGTTTTAGTAGTAAGTCACACCTCCATATAAAACCAAACCTTTATTTTTAATGTCATGAAACAAATAGTTTTCCTTTTGTCTTTTGCGTAGTTCAACTTCTTCAACTGTTTTGCCTCCCTCTTCTACATTGCCTTTGTGATGCAAGACATGGTGCTGCTCAGACAGGTGATATATTTTGTTAGACCGCTCAATGTTTTATCCATGCTAATTCTCATTTTCGATGGACTGTCCCTCTACTCAGAGTCTGGCCACGCTGCTGATCACCAGTCAGATCCTAAATCAATTTATGGAGGCCTTCTTGCCGTATTGGCTGCAGAGGAGACGCAATAAGAAGCTGATCCGAAAAGTCAAGCGGCAGCAAACCCTGACGGACAAAGAGCTGCCTTTGGAGCAGCAAGTGCGGCTGGAGGCTGACATGAGCACGTATCTGGTGAGCTCTGGTGCAAACACAGGTGCTACGTGAGATGAGAGATTTGAATGAAGGCTGAACCAAAATAATTAGACCATACTTTCATACTTTCAGATGTATTTGGTCGTTTTATAGACTTAAGACTTAGACAGACTTTAATGATCCATAAGGAATATTGCGTTATCACAGTAGCTTGCATATATTTCACAATAAAAAATACACATTATAAACATTATAGTAACGGCGGGCGACAGTAGCTCAGTTGGTAGAGCATTGGCCTTTGGGCCTGAAGGTCGTGGGTTCGAGCCCACCGCAAAACCTACTTCACGACTCCCACTGATGACTGCTGTCGTTGTGTCCGTGGGCAAGACACTTAACCCCACTTTGCCCAAAAGCCCCAACTGAAAGATCTCAGCTCCTGTGGACTCACCACCTGCAGGAGGATCAGTGAGGGGCTGGTGCCATGTGTACTGGGTACAGCTCTGACTGCCACCCCCCCAACCCAGAAATGGATTAAGGGGAAGAAAATGGATGGAAATGGATGGATGGATGGATAGTAACAATCTGAAAATAAGAATAATGATAAGATATCATTATTCGACAGTAGCTCAGTTGGTAGAGCATTGGCCTTAAGCCCAGAAGGTCATGGGTTCAATTCCCACCTCTGCACCTTCTCCACCGACTCCCACTGATGACTGCTGTCGTTGTGTCCTTGGGCAAGACACTTAACCCCACTTTGCCCAAAGCCCCCACTGAAAGATCAAGGCTATGCTCTCACTCAGAGAGCAGCAGTCCTCCTGTGGACTCACCACCTGCAGAGGGTCAGTGAGGGGCTGGTGCTATGAGACTTGGGTGGCATCTCTGATTGCCACCCCCCCGACCCAGAAATGGATTAAAGGGTAGAAAATGGATGGATGGATGGATGGATGGATAAGATATTATTTGTGAGAATAGAATAATCTGGATGTAGGTGCTCAGGAAAATACATAGCTGTGAATATGTATACATTTATTAAGGCAATTAACTCATGGACTGCCAGCCGTTTTTGATGATTGTTTTTCAAGACCCACAGAACATTGTGTGCTATGACTATGTGAAATATGAAACCAGATTCTGAAAGATGGGACTGTCTACTTTCATTGGCAAAAATATGTTTGTTTCTACCTGGTTTAGTTCTCCTGTAATCGGCAGTCGAAAAGAAGGAAGTTGGACAGAAATCACCGGTCTTAGACAAATACTGTACGTCAATGGCAGTTAATGAGTTAAAAGTGCCTCACAAGAGAAATTTGAAAACACAGATCAAAATGCATTAAAAAGTTTAAAAAAATGCAATTATTTCATATTGAAATAGAGCAGCATAACAGTATGGGGTTTAAAACATATTAAAAAGTGGGTTTAAAAAGGGCAATAAAAATAATAAGTAGTACAAAATAGAATCAGTCGGTTGTATGCACCGCTAAAAAGATTTGTTTTCAGCCTAGTTTTGTACAGGGGCAGGGTAGAGGCCTGTCTCACAACCTCAGGAAGAGCGTTCCATTTACAGTATGAATACAGAGATAATAATAGATAATAATGTTGGTTTGGTCCAGAATGAGATCAAATCTGTTTATTCTGGATGTAATGGTCTCACCTTTCAGGCAAATCGATCATTATCAGTTTCTGTGGAATAGCACACGGGTTGGTGCGATACATTACTATTTAAAGTGGACTGATTTATTTTGAGCCAAATACTCCTGCTGAATGCATGGTGATAATGAGCTCTGTCTCGAATCTCTTTAGAGTTACAACCCATCCATTCATCCATCCATTTTCTTCCCCTTAATCCATTTCTGGGTCGGGAGGGTGGCAGTCCCTGTCACCCAGTCACAGAGCACCAGCCCCTCACTGATCCTCCTGCAGGTGGTGAGTCCACAGGAGCTAAGATCTTTCAGTGGGGGCTTCAGGCAAAGTGGGGTTAAGTGTCTTGCCCAAGGACACAACGACAGCAGACATCAGTGGGAGTCGTGAAGTAGGTCTTGAGGTGGGCTCGAACCCACGACCTTCAGGCTCAAAGGCCAATGCTCTACCAACTGAGCTACTATCGCCCCTTCATCCTACATACTGTATATTAACTGTGTATGCAAAAACTTCTGTCTTGGGAAGTGTAGTGTTACAACATGAAATACTATTATCCAGGATTAAGTACTTACCAGTGTTGCATCATTCAATATTGACATCAAGTTCTATGCAAATGTCAAGCCAAATTAAACGCGGCATGTTTACATTTACTGGTCAACAAGACTTGGGTCACATCAGAAGCAAATGTTGATCTGATTTGATTAAAAAGAAACGAGCGGACTGAGAGGACAAGTAGTGGACCAGAGTTTGAGTTTATATTATGTCCAAATCTTGTATGTGTTCCCAGACAATAGGTCAACATGTAGAAACCATATATGTCCTTTTGGAGTTATTCTTAATGAAATAAACTGGGACATGATGGTATGTATTTATGTTCACGATTTTCAAGCAGATTACCCATTCGAAGGGCAAAATAACCAAATATCTAATAACCAAAACTCACAAACAAAAAATAGCCCTGCATGAAAGCAGTAGCAGCAGTAAGCAGTCACACGAAATGCACAGACTTTGTACGGTTTATAGCTAAACCCCAGCGGGTGGATTGCATCATTAATCAGTGCTTAAGAGCGAATGTGTCACAGGCGGAAAATTCTGGCGACAAAAACTGGATTATAATTGTAATGACTTTATTAGATTATAAAGAAGGTATACAACTTACTGTCCCATAATTATTCATAATTGGACCAAGTATGTGAACACAGTAATAACTCCCTCTACATACTGCTCCGTAGACTGCATGTATATATATAGGGAAGTGCTCATGGACGAAGTTTAGCTCAAATTCACTCTGGCTCCTATTGAGTTAGATTGAAAAGTAATTGAGTTAGATTGAAAAGTAAACTCCTCTAGCTCAGTTTAGAGTTTTTTTTTTATGATCCTGGTGTTAATATTTGGATAATTTCTTTGTAAATCCAGCAGCAAGCCATATTAGGATTGACTGATAAGATGTCATTTTAGTATCATATCTGCCCATGTTATGTTATGAGGCCAGCACCTCAGAAGACATGCCCATATAAGGAAATTGACAGAGCTAGGTTTTATTCAACTTATGGCCTCTTCCTGTAGATCTTTTCCCCATTTAGGCTAACACTATGGGTGACGTCAGCACTCGGTCGGTCCACTCCTAACATACGGTCTATGGCTTCTCCACAGGGCACTTTTGACGACTACCTGGAGTTGTTCCTGCTGTACGGATACGTCAGTCTGTTTTCCTGTGTGTATCCACTGGCTGCAGTCCTGGTTGTGTTGAACAATTTCACTGAAGTTTATTCCGATGCCTTCAAAATGTGCTGTGTGTTCAAGAGGCCTTTCTCTGACCCAGCTGCGAACATTGGAGTCTGGCAGGTGAGTGGAAGCACTGGGACACTAGGCAAGTTTATTTGTATAGCACAGTTCGTACCCAAGGAAACTCAGTGCTTACTAAGTATCTGGATTTAAAAGGTTATAACTGGAAAAACTAGAATTACTATCATAGATTTCTCATTTCATTTCATTTCATTTTCATTTCAGAAAAGATTGACAAAATTTGAGAAGACCATTCATTTTACGGTGACGCCAGTTACATAGAAAATAAAAGGTCATCAGTGACAAACCATCAGATGAGCTCCCACAAGATTAACATGGCTAACACAACATCACTTCATTTAAAAAGGAATATTTTTTTGAAAAATACTCAGTACATATCTAAATAACCCTTGAAAAATGTGTAATGGATGTGATGGTTTCTGTAATTTTTGAAACTTTAGAAAAAAGTATGGTCTGGTTCACATTTAATTGGTTTACTATATGAAAGTAATTACTTTGTTTCCACTCTGTGTAAAAAAAAGAATCTTTGGATCACATGTGGATCTGAAAATATGTAACAAACTTCCACAGTTCATTCCGTCAAAGGATCAAGTCTGTGACACAGATAAACCGAGCCGCTGAAGGAAACTGGACTAATGTATAAAACAGTTCTGTTCTAGCACTATTGGACAGAAGAGGTGTTTGGCTAAATGACAAAGAGCATTAGGCGGCACGGTGGCTGAGTGGATAGCACTCTTGCCTCTAAGCAAGAAGGTCCTGGGTTTCGAATCTCGGTCGGAACGGGGTCTTTCTGAGTGGAGTTTGCATGTTCTCCCCGTGTCTGCGTAGGTTTCCTCCAGGTGCTCCGGTTTCCCATACCACTAAAAATATGCTCACTAGTTTAAATCCTCCAGCTCCGGTAGTCCTGACCAAGCCGAGCATCAACATCTGGAGATGGGTTCCCGGGCGCTGTACTATGGCGACCACTGCTCATGACGTAAGCCTTAGTGGCATCAGGATGGGTCAAATGCAGAGAACAAATTTCCCTACGGGACAATAATTAACATTACATTATAACATTTTAATTATCTTTTTTTTTTATTTGATTAAAATCAAATTTTTGGCCTTCTGTCACACTTTTGTACCCTTTAGTATGAGCCAGTGTTTTAACCTGGACTTGAACATTGTCAGAGAAGAAAAACTGTTCCAGATTTTAGCTCTTTACGTTATTATATATTATGTTTTATACTTTGATTTTATTGAAGTAATTCTTATATTACAACAGTGATATTGGTAATACAGTTTACTTATTTGCCTCTGGGACATTTCAAGTCTGATGTTTTTCTCCTCAAACCATTGTGTGCTGAATCTTTAGTGAATCTGAGGAATGGACAGATATAATATCGTTTTAGCTTTTTTAGGACCTGCATACTAATTGAGACACATATTGGAGTGCATTATTGCCTGATATAGTGTGCAAAAGTCCTCTTGGCTTGAACTTTTTCTGTTTCATGAATATTGACAGTGCTTCTCTGTTGCAGCTTGCCTTCGAAGCGATGAGTGTGATTGCTGTCGTGACCAACTGTTCTCTGATCGGCATGTCTCCACAAGTCAAAGCTTATTTCCCTGAGTCTGAGATGCAGCTCATTCTGTGGACCGTGGCCATTGAGGTAAGAAAGGACTGTCTCTCCTGCAAACACTTTCATATTATATACTGTATAATGTACTGCATACAAAAATATCTGGATCCCCTATGTAGACTTAACTATCTAGAATTGTTAAAAAATCAAATATTTATATTAACTTAACCAGGGGACAAGCCCCATGGAAGAAATAAAGGACTTATATATTTGCTTTTGCATCTAAATAGTTAAAGTTGGAACATTAGCATAGTGTTTATTTCCTTTAGTGTACCATTCTGAAACAGTACATCCTTCCATCCACCTCTAAATATAATAAACTATTTATGGTAATTAGAAAATCTAACATTTAGATTAACTTCATTATCTCCGACAAGGAAGGTGTTTTCGCTTGGGTTGGTTCATGATTGGATTTGGGAGGTAATTTAAATCACCGTCTTGGCCCAGGATTTGTTCTTATACAAATGGAAACTGCTCCTCATGGTGAAGGTCTGTGCTGTACGAGTTCTTTTCTAGTCTTTTCTAATATTAACACATCAAACAGCATGTGGTGAACAAACGTCAGAAGTGCTTTCAACTGGAGAGGAGAACATGAAAATGAGCGTCCAAAAGCACACTGGCTCCTTGTTTGTTTTCGGGCCTCTCTGTGCCGTACGCCAGGCCCACAGTAATTGATTTGGTATGACTGATTATAAACAGAACTCAGCTTGTCTTTCAGGAAGACTCAAAAAACTGTTTTCTGAAAGCAAGAACAGGCTGTCCCTGCTGAGTATCTATATCGTGTCTTTCCTGTGGTTTTCTCAGTAATCAAAGCCTAGTAACACGAGAAGCAGCGTGGAAGTCACTAGAACATGTCACATTTTATGAACCTTTTATATTTGGGCAAACAGTATCTCAGACAAACCCCATAGCTGTAAAGGTTTCTCCAATTTTACAGTGAAATTGTACAATAATAGATGGACTAAAATGAATAAAAAATGCAAAATACTCTGTTTCACAAAGATCGAAAACTAAAACACGAGTCAACGGTAATCATCAGATATTTGACAATTATACACTTCTGGTAAATCCTTTATTATGTTTCAAATAATAGTCTTAAATCTCTACAATACTATTGACTAAAAAGTATTAAAAGTTAAAGAAAGTAAACCGCTAAAGTTAGTTGCTCCCCTGATTTTGTAAATTTGTTTCTGCTTCTGCCTTTAACATATTGTTTAAGGCATTGGAGCAGGTAACTGTGAAAACCCATGTGCTGAAAATGTTTTAGATCCAACTGCTTGTCCCTTCACGTCCACTAGATGGAGCCACAGCCCAAAGTAGTGCTGCACTCTGTGTGAGCGCAGCAGAATACTGATTGAGGGTGGCAGATTGTGCACATGTTTGAATGAGCTTTTCCCATGTGTCATTGTTGATTTCTATCTGGATGTTGTCTTCAGCCTTCTCCACTCCCCCTCTCTCTTCAATGCATCTCTTATTAGCATTAGCATCAAACCACATGCATGTACATAGCAAGAAGGCTTTACATTACAAGGACATATCACAAGGGAAAGACGGTGCATTTGAACGAACAACCTCCTCAGGGGAAACGGTCCTGAATCTACATCTGCAAATGCACCACGAGCCTGCAGCGCTTTATTGTTAGCCATTTGCCAAGCTGCAAACTGGGTCATATTGATTGGATGCATGTTTGATTGAGTGGGTCGTCCATGTGCCAGACACCATGATACAATCCGCTGTAGTGGGAGAACTTGTACTTCCCAATTAGTCTTTAGTCAGAATTAAAAGTTAGACGTGTAATTAAAACGACCTTCTCAGTGCTGCGGTCCTTAGCGGCTGAGCGAGATATTGTTTATGCTTCAGACAGAGTGACGCATGGAATATGAACCTTTTTAAGTTCTTTCTTAAATTCTTACGGCTGTCCTGGGGTAATGTGACAGATAGATCCAAGGTTAAAACACTAAACAAACAGACAGAATCCACAGGCAAATTGTAAAGATCCCAAGCATGACCCATACAAAAATATCTGAATAAATGCTGAGTATATGGTCATAATCTGTGATCTTGTGTAATCTTCAGGAAATTTGAGCAGGTCTGGCTGTAGCCCACATAAAACCTTGGTGTTTGTTAATGTGTGTTCAGTGTGTTCATTCTGGCAACTCTGATATTAGGACGTATTGTTTCAGAATGAGCAACAACAATGAAAAACATTATACTAATGTTAAAACGCATAGTTAGATCTTAAAGCTATTGTTAAAAAGTCCAAGACACTTGTAAGTATTTTATTTATTCCACGGGGCGTAAAAAAAGCGGAATTGTCTTCCTTCATTGTATTTAGTAGATTTTTTCCCTTTGTCCTTGAGCACCTTTTGAATTATTTGAAGAACTCACTGGAGCCCTTGTGTCTTCTTAGCTGTATCAGAATGATTTTTAAGTTACGTTCGCAGAATTACGGCTGCATGATTTTGGCACCCAGCAGAATACAAAATAGATATTGTATATTTTGACGTGTGTTGGTGTGTGGCATTTTGGATGTGGTTGTGGCGTTTAGATCACGGCAGAACTCGCACAACGTATAGAATAGAGATATGGATCCTGGTGGTGGTGGAAGCTGAAATGATGAGCCAATATGATGGAGAGAATATCCCACGTGCTGATGGGGAGGAGGAGGGTTTTGGCACGAGTTGAAAGAGCAGTGATTCTGGCCAGCTGAAATCTGACTGATTGCTAAATTGCTGAGGCACAGTCGTGTTGTTAGAGGAAAACTGGAGTGAACGTAATTGTGCCCACAGGAAAAACGGAGGATTCAAGTCTTTCAGTCTTGATTTCATTGCAGTTTTTGAGATTGTCGTGCTGTTTTTATATATTTAGATATAACATTATTTTTTTTGTATGATTGTGAATCCTGTTTTAACATAAATGTAATAATTTTTCAACTGATTAAGCAAATTTGGTTTGGATTACTGGTTACCGTATGTCATTAGGGATTTGGTTCTTACGTCTATTGAAAATAAGTTGGCATGATTCATATTTCTTATTTCAAAATGATAAAACCTCACTCATTATCTGTGTCTTTTTCATTAGAATTTGTTCCACTATCCATCTCCTCATATACTGGCTAAATGTCACTTTCCAGATTGGCCATCTGATGTGTGTGTGTCCTTGAATTTAATTAGTCATAAATGATAACCCAAGACCGGCAGAGGCACTGACATTTCCTCCCTTTGTACACAGCAGATTTAATTTAAATCCACTCAACCACACCATGGCCCTCACAAAATCATTTTATTTAGTACATTTGCATGTTCCCTGCAGCCAAAGATCGCCTCGTGTCATTTTCGTCGTATATAGTTACATAAGTATATCTAATTGCTCTGACATTGACTGAACTCACTCCTGAAAGAATGTCCTCTGCCGAGTGTCCCCCTGGGCTTTTCTATCAAAGTGTAATTAGATTTTTTTTCTCCATAGATTATGTGACAAGGCTCAGTTTAAACCATATATATTTTAGATCCTCACTTAGTTGTGGGGTTTGGGGGTTGCACATTGTTGGCTTGGTTGTAATGCTCATAAGACACAATAATAAATGTGCTTCTTTCCATTCAGTAATGGCGTGAATAATTATTTCACGTTTACATATTTTTCTTCTGAATTGATAATGAAAAGTTGATCCTAAATACCTTTAATTATAATAATAAACAAATCCATAATTGTTTCGAAACTGCCGTAGGTTTCTGTGTCTCTGCTCGTGCCATTCCTTCACAGCAATTAAAATTCATTTATTGTATTTATTGCAAGTCCTGTAAATTAGAGCAGAGCTATGGGAGATAATATCAGGGTTTAAACAGATAAGTAAGTATTGACTATGAGTATATGCTTATAATAGGTCTTTTAGCAATGTTGCATCCAATTGATAAAGACCGTTTAAAAATATAAATATACATTGCTCTGTTCTAGTTCAAGTGATTTATTTTTCACCATTTCTTGTCTGGGGTCAAATTTGTACATTTCTGATTCAACTCTAGCTCTAGCACCTCGTGAACCACATCATGCCTTTTATGGCCCATTTAGTTGATCTATATATGCCCTTCTGTCTCTCATTCACTTCTGTCTCTTTCAAAATGTCTCCGGACCCAAGATGCAGAGAACTTTTTAGCCTTTAAAAGTCTCTCTGGCTCTAAGGTTGATGATTTCCATTTGACTTATGCACCTCTCACTTGAATGAAGAGGGGAGGTGTCGGGCTGCTCTGCTGCTTTGGACAATTCATTTTTCTCAGCCCTGGAGGTGTGTTGTTGTCAGCAGTTCATTGTGCATGCTGCAGTGTGCTCGCCAGCATCAGTCAACAAGGCATTTTTATTCTCTAGAATTCACCAATTATTGGAGGGTAGGTAAAAAGCCATGTAGGGTTTTATTGCTGAAGACAATGGCAAAACATGAGCATTATTACATCCAAGGGTAATATGCCGCTTGAAAGACATTAATTGAAAATACTGATATTTGTATTCAGATCTTGAATTTTAATCAGTTCTGATTAGTTATTATTATTATTAACTGATGGTTCTTCTGATCAAATGTTGCAGGTGGAATGACAATATAAAGGCATAAGAATTGACTGAGAGGGTTCTGATTGGTTGACAGAAAGACAAGTGACAGGGATAAGAAACAGGCCATGTGTAGAGCACCAGATGTTGACAATAAAAGCCTTCAGACCTCATCTGATTGAGCTTCTGCACCCGTTCCCCTGTATTCCTCTTCAATACATCTCACAGAATTGAGCCAGAGCCTATTACGGAGAAGGGACAACCAGAGTGATGAGTTGCACAGGTTGGACCATGATAAGTGCACCGAGTGGTAAGGGAGAGTACAAAATAAATGGGGCTTATTGACACAGCGGTGCTGCATGCTACCATCACACAGGCACTTAATATAAGCTGTTAACAGGTCCGCAACAGCATGCATTTTTAATGTGCTCACCTCCACAGGGAACAGCCTCCACTGCTCACTACAAAGGCACTGTGAGGCGGGACACAAG